AAGAAAATTCTACCTGGACGAGTTCCCTGCCTCCGCGAGAAAGAAAGGGATGAAAAGGTGCGAAATAATCTGAAGTCGAAAAAATTAGGTTGATTTTTAGTTCAGTTCGGTAGAGGCCGATTCTAAATGTCCGACGTAAGACAATCGAGTTCTTCAACTCTAGAGAGACCGATAGAAACCAATTTATTTAGCGTTACAGCTGTAAGTTGAACTCTACGTGTCTAACTGTATATTCGTCGTTATCGCGTCCATTAGAAGAAGGTCTACGTTATTAAAAAAAAAAAAAAAAAAAAAAAAAAAAAAAAAAAAAAAAAAAAAAAAAGAAACAGAAGAAGAACACGGAATAAAACAATCGCGGCGGCGCAACAAGGAAATGCACAGTCGCTGATCCAGAAATTTCCCAAATACCCGGGAAAATTGGCGTCGGATATACGTACACGCGCACGAGTACCATGTACACTGGCCGTTGAAGTGTGTGGAGGTGCACGGGGGTCGCGATCGAAACCCAGGGATCGAGGAAATCTTTTTTGTCGCGCGAACCTCGCGCGTATTGGCTCACCGTATTTCGTATCCGCGTATTTTCGGACGATTTTCTCCTCTGTCCGTCGCGTGAGAACACGAGGGAGAGGAAAAGAGAAAGAGAAAGAGAGAAAGAGCGGGGAGTGAGAAAGAGAGAGAGAGAGAGAGCTTTTCTCTTCCCACCCTTTTCCCACCTCCTTTCTCTCTATCTCTATCGGTCGCCTTGCTCGGCCCTCGGCAATGCTCGCGCGTCTCTGCGGAACGGGAGGCAACGGACCAGCGTTTAATGTAAATCGCCACGCACGGGCCGCGCGTGCGAGAGTAAGAGGGATGCTCTATAACGCGAGAGGGCCAGAGGGGCGCAGAGAGGGTGGTCGGTGGCGGCAGCGACGCCAGGGACGAAGAAACATACATATGTATGGGTAAATGTGTACCTACGCCCGCATCGCGCTCTCCCTCGCTCCTTCTCCCTCTTTCCCTCTTTCCGCGCCAACGTTCGCTCTCTTTCTCGCTTTCTCCTTCCCAACCTCTGCATCTTTCTCCCCGGCCCTCTTTCTCCCTTCCTCCCACATCTCTTTCACTGGATACTTCTATCCCATTCGGTGGTCGGTCGACTCTCTTTTTCGTTTCAGCTCCATCCCTGTCGCGCTTCGCGCGTGTTCGATCGCCTCCGCTTCCTCTCTCTTCGCGCTTTCTCGCTTCGCCCGCGCCTCGCTCGCTCTTTCCCAATCTCTCCTCCTTCCCTCTCTCTTTCGCGTGACCGTTCCGTGGCTACGTAGCCGCGCGCGTTCTTCTTTCTCCTTTTTTCTCTTTTTTCACCGTTTTTTCCCCCGTCACGCCCCCCGGGCCGACGAGTGATTTTTATAATCTGCTACTTGTTGCGCGGCGTACCAGCGCGGCCAGCGTGCGGCCCGCCCGGAAAAACCGGAAAATAGAGGAAAACAAAAGCGAGCGAACCGGCGCGGTACGACGCGGGGACCAGCTACGTCCAGAGAACCGAACAGGGTGGCCGGCCTGGGCAATGGGGTGGGAGAATGCCGGGGTGGCGGCGGGGGAAAAAAAAGAAAAAGGCACCGCGGGACCAGCCGGCGGATTATCCGCGCCGCTGTGTGCGCGTATGCTCGCTTCTGTAAGCATCTCCCGCGCTCCAGGACTCAAAATCCATCGCTATTCGCGTTTTACTCTACTTTCCCACAGGTATTTTCATCGTCCGAAAATCATTCGAATCGACAGATTTCTATTCGCTTTTCCAACGCAACGTTCGACAGAAAATCCTCTCTGAACAAGGCGACGCAACGCAGAAACGAGTCTCCGTCGATAATTAGAGCCACGTATGAAGGCGAAATCGTACAGAAGAATAGATTAGCGAGGTACCAATTTGCGATAAAGCGTGACGCGAATGCAACGATTAGGAAAAAATTGAGAGAAAAGAGAGATTCCGAAGGATAGAGAAAAGGGAAGCAGGGGGCAAGATGGTAGTGTGTGGTGGAAACGCGGGAACTTGGACTCGCGTAGCGAAGAACCCGTGAGCCGCGCAAAATGGCTTCCTCCTTTTCAGGAATTATCGCGATGTAGGAAGTCTCGGTGGACGTGGTGGGGGTGGAGGTGGCCGCAGAGCGGCTGTCGGCCGAAAGTTTAAAATAGAATATCTCGCGAGTAACTTTCATCGGTCGTCAAAAAATCATGCAGTGTCGTACCTAGCGGGGGGCTCAACCTCCCACCCACCTCGTGGCAGGCATGGCAAGAAGGGAAAGGGAACGGATGGGGAACAACCGCGGGAAGAACGGTGGAACGAGAAGGAAACGACGGGGAGAGCAGCCCTCTCTTCGCGTCGCGATCCGGCAAGCTCTAGGATAGGCACGCGGTTCGACGTGGAAACGCCAGAACATACCCAGACACATGCATGCGCACGAACTGTGCCGCGCGCTCGATGCATCGCCGTGCAACGGCGGCGAGGAACGATCGCGCGCGCGTGTGTGCCGCGAACGCGCGGCGTCGTTCCGCGAGAATTTACCGCCGGTAACTGTGCCCAGGCAGGAAGTTCTCGCACGGCTGAGGAAAGATATTTCAGAGCTTTTGTTGATCGCACCGGCCGATTCCGTATTAGGAATTACCGAGACCAGGCACGTCGACGTTCGATTCTATGCCCCCCAGCCCCCCGACCCACCGGTCCAACTCTGCGCGTGCATCGACTTATTTTTCTTCACGATTTTCCGTCAATCGAATCTCGTGGACAAAGGATATTCCTCCTCCGACCAACTAGCCCTGACGCAAACATTCGGTTCGATTTCCTATTCAACGATGGGATTTTCCCGCGTCGTTCCACAGATGGGATACGCGCAGGCGTCTACGCTAGCACGATATACTTCCGGTTACGCGTTTAACTACCGCCTTGGAAGTTTCTTTAGAAACGATCTTAGAAAAAATTCGCGATTGTAATTCGCTGAGAAATATCGACGCATACTGGATGTTACATTGCAAGTAGATCGATTCATCGATGATCCGAGAGTTTATCGAAAATTGATCGACTCGGCGAGTACGCTCGCGACGAGACACGCTTTTGATAGCGGTAACGATCGGTGAAACTTTTCCGCAAAACGAAAGGCGCGAAAATCACAGTATGTCGCTGGTTTACCGTTCCCGGTACAGTTGCACAGAGGCTACTGCTGCTGCTGCTGGTGCTGAGATGCTGCTGCTGCACGGAGCTCTGATTTTCACTCTCCACGCCAATGAATGACGTAGCGAAGATACACCACGGAGGCAGCGGGCTGATCCGCTCGCTCATATTCGCTAGAGCTCGCGTTCGCCTAGCCGCGCGCGCGAGTAGAGTACACACGGTCTGATCGGGGGCGCATGCGCAGACGCGTTGCGCGCTGCGACTCGACTCGCCTCGGCCCGACTTCTCGGCTCTCCGTGGCTCGCCCTCCCCGCCGCCAAGGTGCATGCATGCATTCTATGCGGCGTGCACCGCATTAGATGCATTTCTAAGTCGCGCCGCAATAAATCGCAGAAATATCGAAGTGGAGAGTCTGCCGCGCTGATCCCAACAGCCTCGAAGAATCGTGGCCGCCCGCGTCACACGCGCTAAACCCAATTCTACGACGCTTGATCAACCACCACCATCAGCACCACCACCACCACCACCACCACCACCATCACCATCACCACCAGGAATCAACGTGATCCAACGCGAACGGACAAACGGACGACGTTGAAGGAGGCCGCCGGCTGAGAAACACCGAGAGAGATACGGACTGGCTCTGCCTGCTACTCGATTTTCCTAGAATACGATAATCTGGTGCGCGAACGAGGGAGCCCAGTTCTTCTCGCCACTCGATCTCTCAACGTGCGAACATCCTGGGGGAGGAAGACACGCTACAATCGCAACGCTCTCGCTCATGAGAGATCGGTTTTCGTGACAGCGTGCGCGCAGCGTACATACGTGCACACGCACGTGCGAAACTGGTGACGTCTTTCGACGTATATCCCATAAATCCCTCTCTTACTCGGTACCGGTGGTGGGGATAGGGGGCTGCTGCTGCTGTACGACGCCGGTGAAAGCTTTTTTCCTCGTCGGACGGGTAAAAAATTGAGGCGTCGCCAGTGATCGGGCCCCGTGATAACGCGCTCGTCCACGTCGAATTAGAATAATGATCCACAGTTGTCGTTCACTGGGCAGGAAGTGATAAAGGTTACGTTCAGCGACCCGACCGCGTGCCAGACGTGTCGCGAACGCGCGCGATTTCCTCGGAAAAGGGCCACAACCACGGATGCGGCAGCGTATTCCAAGGAGGAAGAAAAGAATACGACACACTGAGTCACGTGCGAACCAGTCCCTCCCACTTGCGGACGCGGTGCCGCGCATTTCAGTACACTGAAAATCGTAACATCGCCAAGCTCCGGGAGTACCGCTTCCTGAAAACTCGTGTCGCGACTCTTTTCTCTCTCTCTCACTCTTTTCAACGATTCTTGTAGTCGAATCCAGGCGACACCCAACCCGATCGAGAGATCGCGAGTGAAACGAGGACCGGTAGAATTAGCGAGAAGCGAGTAGTGCCGCCTCGGAAAACGATAGACGCGGGTAGTATCGGCGCCCTCTGCGGTGGCTAGTAGAGTACGGCCCTGGTACACGTTTTCGCCGGCACACTGCACTTGAGAAAAATTCTGCTCTACCGTGCAGAGTTAATCAGGAAGCACGCGCGTTTTTCCGCGACACACGCGGAGGAGACGAGATTCGACTGGCGACTGCCGACCACAGTGTCTCGTCCTCGCCGTAGCGTTGTGTGGAACCACGAACGAGTGTGGTCGGAGCGATGCACGCGGAGATCAGTGCTCGTCAGCCGAGAGATCTTTGAAAGAAAACGAGAGAAAGTGGGAAGAATCGGCGCGCTGTCTACCACTGAGACGAGCAATTCTTTGCGCGACTCGCGTCGATAATAGGCGCGTGCACACGAGACCTATACTTTCGCGGAGGTGTTTCGTCCAACTTCTCTTTTTTCCTACGCCAAACTAGGCGAAATTTTCGTCGGTGATTGGTGCGCAAGTGTGTGAGAGAAACTGATCAGTTTCGGGAATCAGTGTCGGATGAACAGCAAACACGGATCGTACAAAGTGGAAGAGGATGGTGATGAAGAAGACGAAGGCGAAGACGACGAAGGCGACGACGACGGTGATGAGCATGTGCACGAGCATAACCAAGACTATGATAACGGGAGGCTGGTAGATCGAGAATCGACGAGATACGTGTTTAAATACAGGTAAAATTTGACTAAAATTATACGAGAAAACATTTCGCTAATATCGAGCTTCGAGCTTATATCGTTCACTACGTCGAAGAAACCTAGATAGGCGATCAATGATTAAAATAAAATAATCGAAAATGTGAGACACTTTTTTTCTTCTATTCTTAATCTATTGTCGCAACGGGTCACTTCGACGACATGTCTTCCGCGCTGGACTCTAACAACTATTAATATTCCTTGCTTGCAGAACTCTGACCGGTACATGCTTTAGCCGCAAACTAACAAACCGAAAGCACGCGGATTGGAGGAAAATGGCTGATACGGACTAGACTCGAGAATTCACGCTACTCTCGTTTCTTCTCATTTTTTTTCTACCTTCCAATCGCCGTGTCGTTTTCCAGCTTTCTTCGTTGCTTTGCTCGTCTCAAAGTGCACGCTTCGCATACATACTTCCCGCTATAACACCGGTTCCACGAAAACTAGAAAGATACTTCGTCACGTGTACATCGTGTAAATAAAGATCTACGAAGATCGTGGAAATTTGTTCGAATCGCGAAAGAAACTATCGAGGATCGACCATCGTGGCAAGTCATGCCAAGGCTTTTGTAGAACGATCGATCGAATAGGTATTGGAAGGAGAGAGGGTTGGTGCACGGAAAACAGGGAGAGGGGAAGTAGCGTGGTGATTAGTCGCAGTGTTTTGGAAAACAATGCGCAAAATTTCGACCGCAATAAATGATAAAAGAACAAATAAACTTCAACGTCGGAGAAGAGTCAAGTTGCGTGCAGATTCGGCGACTGAACAAACGACGCGGGCATATGTATTGTCCATTATCGAATAAAAATGGAATAAAAATGAAATAAAGCAAGAACAGAGACTGACGTTTGGGAACCTGAAACATTCATTGTCCTTTTTGGCCATTATCTATCCCTCTTTCGTTCACCTAAGATACTTCTTTCTTTCTCTTTGTCCTTTTTCGAAAAATAATAATCAAAGAGGGAGACAAAGTGGCAAACTTATTCGTTCTATACGTTGCCAGTAAAATTACCTAGCTGGAAATTCAGCAATGTTGCAATTCGCGCGATGCGTGTACTCGGGTCGTCTCTATAGCCCCCCTCGAAACAACTCTCGAATTAAACCCTTAAACAGGTCCAACCTGGTGGCACTTGGAAACGTTGCTTGCGTCCAGTGTACGATCTAAAGGGTAGAAAGGTGGAAAGAGAAGAAAGGAAACGAAGAGGATGGAAAGAAAGAAAATAATTCGAGATAGCTCGATGCGTCTACTCCCCTTTGCTACCCCCCACCTATGGACACGGGGCATTACGGATGGGCTCGCCCTTCCCTCTGGGCCCTGTTCCACCCCCCTTTTTTAAGGCGGCCAGCTGCGGGGTCAGTTTTCGACGGGCGCGCGGCGCATTAAGATGCTACGCTCAAAATTTGTCATCAACCTCGTGTCATCGTGTCTCGTGGTCGCGTGAAAATTCGCTCGCCGGTTCTCGCATTTATGTAGGTAGCTGCGGAAACACCATCCCCGAAAATTCCCGATGGAGAGGAACGAACGACGGCCGAAGGAAGAGCGCGAGAGAGAAGGGAAGAAAAAACAGCGTGACGCGAGAACAACCGCCGGATTGCTTCTGCAGTGATGAACGCGTGATGGATATTAAATGGGTGCACGGTACGCATCGACAGATTAATTTCATTTCCACCGGGCCCTGCTGCTTTTCGCGAGCAAGGTTTTAACAAATACGCGACCGCGCCGTGAGCCAGACGATTCGAAATATTAAATGTTCGCTTCTTTCCCCCACTCCCGCCAATAATCCTTTTTTTTTTCATTTTTCTTTTTTTTTTTTTTTTTTTTTTTTTCTTTTTTTTTTTTTTTTGTTTCGTTGCTTTATCGATGCTCGAATTTCACGAACAAATATTTGTCAAAGACCAACCATTCTCGTGACAAAGAGAAAGGGTACAGTCCAAACTCTTCTTGCCAAAGCAGCCGAGCCGGAACATTTTCTCTTCCCGTATTCTCTAAAATATACGTGCTACCATCGCTGAAATTTGCAATCGGGAGGGCGAAGGCATTCTTGGTAACTCAAGGAAAAAAGAAAAGATATCCAGCAACCGTAACGCTATTCTTTCGTCGAGTGCCTAGCGACGAATTATTTTCACCGAGTTCAAATTACACCGAGAAATTTGTGTTCCCGTGAAAATCGCGTGTGCCCGTGAAAATTGCAAAGCTACCCAATGACAGGAAATTTGAACACTTCTTTGAAACGCAGTCTGTCAATTCTACCCTCGTTTACCGTGCCAATCGTTTCGCGTCGTGCAAATAATTAATCGCAAATAATACCGCTTTCCGTGAAAGCTGCGAAAGGGTGAGCTACCCTAAAAACGTGCGGCTATATCGGCTCGTTTAATTTCGCTAATTTCTTTTCTCCCGTTCGCGCGAGCCTGTAGCACGAGGCAAGGGTTGCAGCCCTTGCGTTTCCTTCTACTTCGACCACGACACAAGGAAGACAAAGGTAGAGAGAAAGAGACGTTGAAGGGTTCACGGAACGTTAAAAATCTCGAGGGGTTGCGAGGAAGACGAAAGGGTAGAGAACGTACTAAAGATGACGGACCGAAAAAATAATTATTCCTCGTACACTGGGAAAATTAACATATCCGGAATTATCGGGATAACTGTGATTCTAGGAAGAAAATATTTTCAGAGAGACAGTAAGTAGTTTCTTGGTACTTCAGTGTCAAAAAACCAAATATTTCTCCAACTCTACGCGAATTCTTTATCATCGCTTTTAATCGAAAACGGTGTAAAACACCGAGGGTATTGATCCGAAAAAAGCAACGATTAGCAACGATTAGCATAAAAGAAGGAAAAAACGTTCTTAAAGAACTCTATTATCGTTATGACTCATCGAATCGGCCAATCATCATGCGGAAATTGGATCTCCTCGTTCCTTTTCAAGCGACAAAAACTTCTCTCCAATCTTCTTATCACCGAATTACCTATAAAAGTTCCGAATAACAGGTTCATTGTCAGGGAGCCACTACCCTCGAATCGAGACAGGTTAATTTCGTTCTACACTCGAACAAATTGAAATCTTTATTCTGGACGAAATCAAAATTTCACTTGAAACCATTCAACCTAGAAAAAGAAACGTATCAAATAATATACAGTAAGTAAGATATTTTTCAATCAAAATCGAAACTGTTTCGCTAAAAAAAGGCTGACTGTGTCTTAGACACGATGAGAAGGAACGAGGAAAAAGAGCAGCATTTTGAATCATTGGAGCGTTATTGATTAAAACAATCAAAGAGACCTCTTTCTGTGACGGAACTTTTGAGAGGAAGCCCAACGACGAACGACAGAGAAACGGAGAGTGTCTCGGAGGGGGACAGAGCTACGAAGAGAGGGTGGATCGAGAGCGGAAAAAGATGGCGCAAAAATGGAGGGTGAAAAATAGGAGTGGGATGAGGTCACGGGAATCCCCACCCCCGTTTGCCTGACACTCCTTCTCGAGTGTCCTGTGGGAATACTTGGAAGATTTTCGAATTTCATATCCCCGAGGCGCGTAGCAAGTTTCCAAGGCGTCTTCCATTAACGAAAGCAGAGGGACCGATACGGATTGTTTAGCCGCATGATTTACAAATGGAAATTGCCCTAAAAAGCTTCGTGACTGTTCATCGAACGACGGGGTTGACGACCAAGCCGTCAGAGGCTGGCTTAAAAAATTAATACATATTCCACGTCGAATTAAGCAGTTCGATCAACGTGGAAAGTGAATAATTTCGAGATTTTTCCTCTCCGAACGTACATCTTCTCGCGTGAATATCGTTCGACAAGGTTCGATTCGTAGAGACAATAGACGAAGAGAGATCAGAACCGGTATCGGATCGGAAAAGCGGAAGATCTAATTTTACAAATATTCGCACATTCCGAGTAATTCAAGGCTGCGACTGAGGTTAGCAGGTAGACGGGTGTGGGGGAAGGCAGCACCGAGTTAAAACAAACATTTTTGCGCGTGTGAGCTTCGGCCATAAAGCTCTGCCCGGCCAAATGCATTGGCCGGCAGTTGCATAACACTCTAGAATAGCTGCGGAAAATGGTGGACCTTCTCTCGTGGCTAGCTTTTTCTTTTTCGGTCTACAACGGCCGTTCTACGTCTCAATGCCGAGAATTGCTTGCCTCTCTCTTCCTCGCCGCCGAACAGTCGGATTCATCTTGGTACGCAGAAAATATACCGACAACCGGCTTCTTTGTTGCACGCGTTGAATATAAAATGGCTGCTAATTGAGGACAGGTCGTCAGGCAGAGAACGATATCCACCGGTGTGACAGTATTTCAGGGGATGAATCAAGAGGACAAAGTAAGAAACAAATGTCCAACGTATATAGGTTAAGCTTGGATCGAGTGAAACAGTTAAAATCATGCCAAAAGAACGCGGGTTAAGACAAAAAATATAAATTCGCTACATATGACATTATTATTACATATGTATATACAGGTCATTTAGAGTGCAGTCCAGATATAACATTTTAACGCTATTTTAAATCTCGAATCTAGCATCGAATATAAAGCTCTATTTATTTTACGTGAAAAATGGCAGAGCCTTCTCAGTGATAGGTAATAACTTTGAGTTTCAAGCTGCGAACATCCAGAGACAGCGTTATACCGTTGTCATAAGCAAAAAGAAGGTTTCGCCCGAAAGAAACAGAAAACATAGCGTTGCCGTCTCGATTTCGATTCACGATCGCGAGTTGCGCAACCGTGAAGCACCGATCAAAAATAGCACGCGAAATGGCGGATATTTTTTGGAGGGCTCGGGAGAGAGAGGTATCAGAGGCGAATCTTTAGCCAAACGCCGATGTCTCGAGCGTTGCGAAACATAGAAGAGCGTGGGCCACCGCAACGGAATCTTGGAAGAACGCGTTCTCGTGGGTTCAATGTCCACAAGGGGGGAGGGGACAAGTCGGCAATCTATCGAATCTTTTCGAGGCGTCTCGGGCAATTAAAATTATTTATTAAAAGGCGCCGGTCGAATGTAAACAGAGAGGAACCAGAAGGGCGGTCGATGGAGAGGCGCGATCCGATTAAAATCTAATTTTTCACGGATACTCTCTTAATTAAAACATTAAATTGATTGCGGCGTAAGGTTGAGGTGGCGAGAAAGTACCGTCTTCTCGAGACAGGATGAAGTAACGAGAGACAGGGTCGAAGAAAAAGAGAGAAGCGAAGGGGTCGGAGGTGGAGAAGCGGAAGAAAAGACAGGGTGGAGTTTCGCGCGAAAATAAATGAAAATGAAATCAATTATAAAACTGTTTGAGGAGACTCGGAGGAGCAGCCAGTATCCGATGGACGAATGGATGGACTGGTACAGGTCGATCTTGAATTTTCTTAATTAAAAATCTACAGACTTTGCTTTCAATTAAAAACCGAAATGCCGCACAGCTCGCT